GCCACCTTCCCTCGTTTGTCCACCTGTCCTCAGCTATCTGGACGATGCCCCTCCCCCCCACACACACACCGTTCGGATTGGCAACAGTCCCGTCAAAACTGACCACTAAAGCACAAATACAGCGTTGTGAAAGCAAAGTGACACTTTTGTATCAAATCGTCACTCAATCAATCCACCATGCACATGCACACAGAATGATTACCCTTTTATTGTGTTTGGACCTGATCTGTGAATAAATCACTCTCGTTGAGAATCCCTCGTTTGCTCTCTAATCACAAATGGGTGTAGATGTTCCCGGCGAGGACGGGGGCCGCGGAGAACTTTTGCGTTTGGTGCTAGCTAGAGGAAAGTATTTCAATATTGATTAATTTGATCTGACTATCCTTCGGACTTCACCTTCACACCCAAATCCTCAGTTAATTGACTCACTCGGAAGCACTAAACTCGAGTTTCGTTCTTATNATATAGCTCATCAGTAGTGCATATCCACCGTCCCACCGTCCGGGATTTGAACTCCGCACACATCGCATGGAAGGCGTATCTGTGTTACCAATGTGCCAGCCAGTTCATGCCATGTCTGAACCAAACTTCCAATTCATGTTTGTAAAGGTGTTGTCTTCAGTGAAAGCCAGACAGTTTATTTTGCCCGACAGTAACGAAGGGAGACACAGATGACAATCTGTTAACTCCAAACGAAAGACTCCCACCAAGTTAGGACTTGCAGGTTACGGGCTGACTTGCCACAAACCTAACAGGCTTGATTGATCTTCGTATTTGACTCATAGTTACTTGTAAGTAGTGTTTGTGTGGGATAATTAATAATGATTCATTTGACTGACTATCCTTCGGGTTTCACCCCGACGCACACTTCTCAGTTCATCGATTCAACCATGTTGCAAAACTGTTTTAAAGTCTAAGCAATTCCCGTTAACATTTTTCGTTTGGGCAGAATGACTGAGAAATGCTCGTATGAAAATGATCGTGGTTTGTCAGTAGTATCGTCGGGAGAAATTGTGCATGATTTCTTGGTTATGATTCCACTCACAATTGTTCCGTCGGCTTTCATATAACTCAAACAAAAATGACCTTAGTCCAAATAAACCGTTTTAATCTGTATGCAAAAGCTCACTTTTAGATGGCCTCCTGGCTTGTACCACACTTTTGCATGTATGGTGCATGCAACCACACGTGCGAATCTTCAAACCGGTCCAATCCAACCACTGATCTCAAGCTAAGAATGAAGCTGTCGTTTCATAACAAGACCCTGTTTCTACACTCTGATTAATAGACCGCGGCCGGGGTTGATTCATCTATGATCTCATTCTCTCGGACTCAAATTTAGCATTATTTGAAAAAACAAACGTAGGAACTACTGTTTCACTGGAACCAACTTGTCTTCAGATGCGATTATTTTAAAAATATCGATTTTCTTGAGTGGAACCGATGATAAGTGAGAACCAGGGATTGTTTTACTGGTGGCTACAGCAGAATCCAAAGGATTTTGCAATTTTTCACTTAGTTTACCGGTTTATAAATACAGATATAGATATCATTTAATGGAAACTCGTCAGTGGTTCTCTTAGGGAAAGTTGGATATATATAGGAGGCGGGATTGGCTGTAGGTAGCCTTTTGTGGGGAGGTTACAATATACGGTCTTCTTATTACATCATGAAAAACGGTGCATCTTTATCCTACATGGACCTAACGTAAACATTCCTCGAGTCTGAAATTAGTCTTACATCACATATAAAACGTGCGTGTTAGGGGCCGTAATTGGTCATCCATCGCTTAAACCTCAAAACATGCTTGTATATGTGACTGAGCGTCTCAGACAGCATCTGATGAGGAAACCTTACTCACTGTCTTCAGTTAGCAAAAATGTTCCAAGAGAGTGAGAGGATTATGAATCAACATTCGGGGCTCTGATCGGACCGGGGAACCACTGAAATTTCCCCTGTGGTAGTTCAAAGCATTTTTGATTCAAATCCAATGAAGAAGAGTGTCATGTCGTCCTGGCACTGATCAACGACTTAGTTGGACAGCTGGAACGTTTGACACAGAGTCTAAGACTACGTTCGCTCTCCGACTCGCCGGAGATCCCACGGCTGATGATGTTAGTCTCGTGAGCGTATGGGTTATCCTAAGTGCAGTATCTGAAATAGGTACGAATTTTGGATCACGAATCATGGGCATAACTGAGACACTGAATCGCACTAGCACTCGTACACTGGACTCCCCTTCACCGAGACACCGGAAAAATGCCACAGAAGTAGTGGCTCGTTTATTAGAAGAAATCAATGGGATGAAATAATATGAAAACAGAAAAATCATTGGTCAAACGAATATCAGCCAATCACCGTTCTCGCTCTTCGAGTCCCATGGCTTCTGTTTGAACTGTATGGCTGTTGAGAGATCGATACTGTGGGTTCATGGCCCAATGTCCAGAAACTGGAACGCATAGGAACTTGACTGGCATCATCTGAGAGGATTGATTCACCACACTAAGCGTACATGAAGAACCGCAGAGCGGAGTGCTTTTGAAAACAGATAGATTTAAGTTTCGGGAACAGAAACAAACGCGTGTAAACCAAATTGAGCATCTAACGCCCAGAAGAAAGAAATTATGGATTTCTGAGTGAACATTATGTTGAACCCCTTTGACGTCGCAGTCATGCACCCAAACTGTGGGCTATTCGTATCAGCATTGGCTGTTATCCACTGTATGCATTTCTCCTATGAACCAAACAGGTTCACTTGGGACTATCGTGTAGCTTGAGTTGTAAGCTCTCATGAAAAGGTATCCATTTCAGTAACAGGAATTGAAAGGAACTTTAGGCAACAATAATTCTTCCGTTTTAACTTCGAAAACATCTTCTTTTATCAGATGAATCGACTGCGTTCTGTTTCGTTCACTTATGCTGGTTAGTAACCCAGGCCTAGGGGAGCTGCAGATGATGGTAGTGGTTGCTAGGCCATTGATGAAAAACAGTTCAGTCACCAAAGTTCATCTTAGTAACTCTGACCCAAGCCTCTCAACAAATTGTGTTACTCGAATAGGGACACATGAGCCACGCAATGAAAAGTGCATCGGTCTGAGTAACATCATGAGCACTGAACTCGCCCCTGGTCGTAGTTACATTTGGAGACTGAGCCATCGTCAATGTCCAAGTAAATACGACCTTCGCTGGAAACAGTGCATCACACTTTGTGTTTATGGCGCTAGGCCCAGCTTAGCTGTCCCCCGCCAATTGCACGGTTTCACCGACCCACCAAATCGATTTCCGTCACAGAGCTCGACAACATGCAAAATTGAAGTTTGACTCATTTCAACACAGGAAAAACGTGGAAAGACTGGTGGTCAATCAAGGGTGGAGGGTGTTAGAAAAAACGTGTGATCCATTGACCAATGAGGTGCGCTGAACGGAAGTGGATCCAATCATCGAGTTTTTTCAGTTCAAATTGAAGTTTCTCAAATCGGACTTGAAATGGTATAGTGCAGTGGTTTCGCATCTTAAACAAATCACTGTGAAGGTGCGCGGTGATCTTAGCCTACGATATGACATACCCTGGAGCGACATGTTACAGTTTTAGGACAGCTGTGATCAATCAAGCTTCCTGGGTCAGCAAAGCGCGTACTTGACGCAGCTCCTGAACTACAACCCATAGGCCGTTCTACCAACCAATCAGAAACTGTGCAGCTCAGACAGAAGTTGAACAACAGCAGAAATACTAGCACGCGATTGGCAGAGGCTTGGATGACAAATGTGTTAGGGATGCCAATGGTCAGCATGTGAACAGACAGTGTCCTTGACCTTGACCTTTTATGATGTCATGATTGTCGTTCTTGTCATGTGGTTAAGTGCATTCAATCGAACACACACGGATCTGACGCGCAGACGGTCTTTGTTCTTCCTCTCGCTCTGAGCGATCCGGGAACGTAACACAATGAACTTGTTTTGTACATATTATTTAATCCCTTTGAATTCTTTCTCTAAATGGACTGAACTGCTACTCGTGTGACCTTTTCCTTGCGTCTCAGTTACATGGGATACTGCCGTGCGAGGACCAGTGTGATCCAGTGCTTACGTGGCGTAGTATGAATTCGTTTAAATCCCCCCCCGCCCCCTCCGCTGCTGCTCTGCGGGATCGAAAGCAATTGGTGCTTGCGCGTAATTTCACCTGGCCCGCCCCCATTTCATCCCATTCCGAGTCGCCTCGATGGTCGAATGACTTAAAAAACAACAAGAATCCCATATTCGGTTCCAGGATGAAGTTTGCCACAAATAATCTGTGATGTTAATTTTCCCCTTCCCAAAACAAATTTAATGATTGGCTACGGACATATGTATTGAGGTCTATCTCGC